AGGATTAGACGTTTTGCTTCACTTGTAAATCCTGTGGATCACCAGCATTCATTTTGGAACAGTTTTATTCCGGGTTAAAAATGAACTATCTGTCCGACAGCCAAATGGCTTTTGAACGTTTTTACCAGCCACTAAATATGTGACCATAGTTTTTTAGGCTGGTGAGTGACACATGTGTTGTCACTTGCATATTTGATCAGCATTCAGTTGGCAAATGTAAATAAAAGGATTATTTATCTGGCTTCCTTTTTGTAGAATGCCATGATGACGTTTGAGGAGGAGAAAATGCAGATGGCCTTTGAGGATCTCAAAGCTACAGAGCGACTGTGCGAGAGTGAAAACACTGGTGTCATTGAGACCATTAAAAACAAGCTCAAGAGGAGTGTGAGTAACCATTTCAACACTTCATTTAATTTAATATATATGATATATATAGAACAAATGTTATTTGCCTGAAAAGAGAGAACATTTTAGGTTGCACCATGGTCAGGTTTGCTGTTTGTGAGCGTGCCTGTCACACCAGTCTGAAAGAGTGAGGTGTTTGTGTGGGCAGATGGACTCCCAGAGGTCGCGGGTGGCTGCAGTGAACCGGCTCCAGAGGCAGATCATCATCGCTGACTGCCAGGTTTACCTTGCAGTGCTGTCTTTCATCAAACAAGAGCTGTCGTGTAAGGGGACCTTTTTAATACCTGCTGTCAAACTATGAACGCTGCACATTCATCTGTGTGAAAAGAAAATATTGAATTCAGCAGTTGTGCAGAGGTGGGAAGTAGTAGAGTACAAATAATGATGTTACTGTACTTAAGTACATTTTTCTGGTATCAGTACTTTACTGCACTACTTCTTTTTCTGATGACTTTTTACTTTTACTTCTTACATTTTTAACACAAATACCTTTTACTTTATACTTCTTACATTTTCAAAACAGGCTGGTTACTTTAGTTTTAATCTGCGTTTGGTGGCGTGATCATTATTATTTAGAGGCATTGCAATGCGTGCCTATTGATTTTAAAATGATCCGTGTATCCATCATTTCCTGGTCTTCTCTAATCAAGAGCGACCAATGAAAACGTTGTAATCTTTGCCGTTGTTCAGCATCGAAACATTCATTAGCTAACAATGACATTATTGTTCTATTAATATAAAATGAGGTCAGTTACTCTTTAAAACAGTTGGTAGTTATGGGTACTTTTTACTTAAGTACATTTCGAAGCCAATACTTCTTTACTTTTACTTGAGTAAAGAAGTTTAGTCAGTACTTCTACTTTTACCAGAGTATTTTTAAACACGAGTATCTGTACTTCTACTTGAGTAAAGGATGTGTGTACTTTGCCATCTCTGCAGTTGTGTAATCTGATTTAATATTGGACCATATGCATATTTCTTTGTTTATTCAATCTCCTGACAGCATACATCAAAGGGGGCTGGATCCTCCGTAAAGCCTGGAAGATGTACAACAAATGTTACAGCGACATCACACACCTGCAGGAGGGCAGCAGAAGAAGAGCCTCCCAGCAGCAAGCGGCGGCGCCTCCATCTCTGTCCTCATCTGACGCGTCACACCACAGCCGCTCCTCCTCCCCCGGGCCGAGCCCCTCCCTCGGACCGGACGACATCAGCCCCGAGGCTCTGGACCGACTTAAAGGTTCCGTCAGCTTCGGTTATGGCCTCTTCCACCTCTGCATCTCCATGGTGCCCCCCCACCTCCTGAAGATCGTCAACCTGCTGGGCTTCCCTGGCGACCGCCTGCAAGGCCTGTCAGCGCTCACGTACGCCAGTGAAAGTAAGGACATGAAGGCCCCTTTAGCTACGTGAGTATGTGAGTGAGTATGTCTGTGGTTCTGTAGTCTGTCTGGAACTGAAACATGTCTAGTTGATGTACAGAACAATGGTAGATAATGCTGTTTAGTGATTTTTCAATATGGTTAATCACACTTAATCAACCTGTTGGTTAAAAATCATTACAGATTGATCTAATTTCATACCAGATGGTGTTGTCTTTACACTCACTCAGTCTGTGCCCCCCCCTCACAGCCTGGCCCTCCTGTGGTACCACACAGTAGTGCAGCCCTTCTTTGCTCTCGATGGCTCAGACACACAGGCAGGTCTGATGGAAGCCAAATCCATTCTCCAACAAAGAGAGGCTATCTATCCAAACTCCTCCCTCTTCATGTTTTTCAAAGGCAGAGTCCAACGCCTCGAGGTGAATATTAAGAAAGAACCCTATTATCCACTGCTATGTGTCCTTTTCTCCTGCCTTAGTCAATATTATGCATTGCCAATATTGTCTCGGCGTGTTACTCGGATAACAAAGTTCTTCTTTCCAGTGCCAGATCAGTAGTGCCTTGACGTCCTTCCGTGATGCCTTAGAATTGGCTTCTGATCAGAGGGAGATTCAGCACGTGTGTTTGTATGAAATAGGTACTATATTCCCTCTCAGATTTAAAACCACATTGCTCAGCGCTAGTCTGCATCATAAATATTGATCGTTTAACCTTTTAGGTTGGTGCAGCATGATCGAGCTGAGCTACAGAGAAGCCTACAGGGCCTTTGAGCGACTGAAGACGGAGTCTCGCTGGTCCCAGTGCTATTACGCCTATTTAACTGGAGGTGGTAACAGTACAAACAAATATGGCTTTAATCGCACATCTAAGAGATTGCTATTAGCTCCTAATTCTTATATTGTATGTGTTGATTAGCGTGCAGAGGAGCCACAGGTGATCTAGAGGGAGCTATCACAGTCTTCAAGGATGTGGAAACACTTTTCAAACGCAAGAATAATCAGATAGAGCTGTTCGCTATGAAGAGGGTTAGTATATATCCCGCATATTTTCTGTTTAATATCTTAGGTGCAAAATACAGTGAGATTAAGCATGTATGCACACATTTATAACAGGCTGAGAAGCTACGGACCCCCAGTCTATCCAAAGAGCTCTGCATCCTATCTGTGATTGAGATTCTTTATCTGTGGAAAGCTCTGCCAAACTGCTCCACCGCCAAGCTTCAGACAATGTCACAAGGTACTCGATTTTAAAACGTTTCAACCACCAAACTAGTTTCTCTGTGTTGTGTTGCAGATTGCTGTTGTGTCTTCAGGTGTAGCTTCATTGTAATCTTCTTGTTCTAGTGCTGCAGGGGATTGATGATGCCTCATGTGAAGGCCTGAAAAACCTGCTTCTCGGTTCCATAAACAGATGTCTTCATAACACAAACGACGCCATTCAGGTACTCCTATGTCATATTCATAATCAAATGTATAAGGTGTGGAATATGAAGCATTGCAGGATGCTTGTAAAACGGTGTATTATTCACACAAAAGTCAGTACTGTGCTGATAATAGTCTAGTGTGAAAACTGATTTTTTTTCTGCCTGTTTTGCAGTTTTTCCAACTGGCTGCAAGGGATGAGGTTGGCCACCTGAGCAACTCGTATGTGCAGCCCTACTCCTGCTATGAACTGGCCTGTGTGATGCTAAACACCCCAGAGGCAAGTGTGTGTGCGTGCGTGCGTGCTAGAAAGAGAGACTGTTTCCTAATCTGAGATGGTGGAAAAGTCACATAGTCTAAATAATTTATTGTGTTTTCTTTCCAGTCTGCAGGGAAGGGCAGAATGCTGATGCTCCAGGCTAAGGTACAGTAGCTTTCCTCATTGCATAAGATTTGTGTAATTTGCATTTGCTTAAGTAGATTTTTAGCAAGCTTTATCAATAGATCTCCTCTAAGGTCTGTGATCAAATCGTTTATTCCACTTATTTTTTGAAATAAGACAATGTTTGTCTTATTTCTGCCCATAGTCAACACTTTGCATCAAGGTCTTGTCAAAGTTTTAAGGATGTTTTCACCCTCCGACAGATCAATACACTCGCTGCCTGATCAGCATTTCAAATAAAGGAGCGGCAGGCTAAATGCTTTACAGAGTTAAAGTGGTGGTTTTTTTAATGGTGAAAAAATAGCAACCAACGAACTCCAAAAGGCCACGGTTATAGATTCTTATTTCTTTTGTCTTAAAAAAAGTTTTGTCCAAGAGAGGCTTGTCATCCCCTGCTAAGCCCTCATACATGAGGCACAGACCAACAAAATAACTCCCTGAGAAGGAAACCTGTGCAGCAGCTCTGAGAGAGGCAGACGTGTCCACCTTGTAGCTCATTTGAAGGGACAAGGACAGGCAACATTGTCATTGGAGCAATCAGAGTGACTGGCTGAAGCTATGCCAGGTTCCCATCACTACGTCTTCCTACGTCAATTAGACTTATGCTGTTATGCTGCCCCGTGTTGAGGAAATCAGGAATGTTGTGCACCATGAGAGGAGAGTGAGACCTCCTAGCGCCGTGTTGGTTTAGGCAGGAGTATTTGCTTTGTCTGATCTCACTGTGAACAGGAAACAGCAAACCATTCCACACTGAGCTGAGAGTAATATCAGGGAGGCATCTGAACATCTTTGGTAATAAGGAAAAATTGTGACAAAACAGATGTTGCGAAAGCAGTTCCTATACGGCTTACAACAGTTTGTTGCTATCTAGTACAGTATGTGGTTGCATTAACCACAGATAATTGTTGTAGGTGTTCTTATAAATAACATTTGTGGGCAGCGAGGGTATCGATATGTCTGAGAGTGCTGACCCCAATGCTTTTTAGAAGGCCTATCTATATATAACTTGTATTTGATTCATTAATTTGCTTTCTCCTTCACCACGCAGGAGGACTTTGCCGGCTATGACTTTGAGAACAGGCTCCATGTCCGTATTCATTCAGCTCTCGCCTCCATGACTGCTGCTGCAGCCCAGCCTTGACATTTTATCCACACCTCAGAAAGAACTGGACGAAATGTCTTTTAAAAAGCCACAATACCTTTGGAGTCACTAATGTTACACTGTCAGGATTTATTTATTTTTATTTTTATATTTCCATATTCTGAGCCAATGCATAATTTTAAAGTGTGCAATATACTGTATACAGTAGGCGTTATAGGAGAACAGTCAAAATGTATATTATTCATGTTACCGTCTACATGTGCAAGTGCAAATCAAAATGCAAGTCGAATCAGATGACAATCATTAAATACATTTGTGAAAAGCATCAGGCATTGATCCACAGAGGGACTACTTTTCCTCTGATTAGGAGAAAAGTCAGGTTAAATAGAGCAATGGCACAAAGCGTTGACTGACAAAGCAATCAAATTAATGACTCAGCCACCTCAGTGTTGTTTGACAACGTGACATTTGTGATGTAAATGCTTTGCTAATCCATAGGCATGAGTACTAAATGATTTTTTAGCGTAGCCTCTTTTTTACCGGACTTGTCTTTATCAGTGTAAATATGTCTCGCACACAGGTTTTAATAGTTGTGCCAACATCGTGTGAGAGGCCGAGGTGCAGCGTGCTACTGTAGGCCATACAATGGTCTTTATTTATATTGTTTGTTTTAAGATAATAAAATAAATATTGTTAAATGGATTATGGTTGTACCCTCCTAACTTGATTAGGCGTACATTACATGATTAATGCACATACAACAAATGGAACTGATGGCAAACTTTATTTTTTTCATCAATTATAAACAAATGAACAAGGTGTATCTGGTGCATTCATTAAATACTTTTAATGGGGTTAGTCTAACCTCAATGCTATAATTCCGATGCATAAAATATAAGAACGCCTAAAAATGGAAACAAAAATAAATCTTAAGAAAGGGGCTAATTACTGCCAATGATTTTCAAACTTTTTTTTTTTTTCTTTCAAATCCTTTAGGGGTCTAAGGATACATTGTGAAAGCATTAAGCATCATTTGGTTGTAAATCACCAAAACAGGAAGGCCAAGACAAATGTCATGACTGGTTGCCAGGGGCGTAATAAAGTAGGATATGGCCAATGGTAGGCCAGACAGTGGGGTTGACACTACCTTGTAAAATATGTCAATAACGCTTAGCAAGCATGAGAAGAATAGCACAAACCAAAAAAGTTCAATCAACAGTAAGCTTTTATTTAGCAACAATAGAAATTCTGTTCTGATACCCAAAAGAGTGATAACAGAAAAACACCTAGAACCTACAGCAGCTATCCACAACTTTAGAAAGGGAATATTCAGTGCTTGATTGTGAGGGTAAGGCTTGCATAGTTATAGTGAAGCACATGCGTTTATTGTCATAGTTTCATTTTAAATAGATATAGCTAAATATAATCAACTATGGCAAGACTTAAACAAACACACACACGTTTCATAAGTGCAGAGCCAGCGTCCCTGCTTTAGTATAGTTAGAAAAAAGTGCTACTGTGTCCAGAGTCAGGTAGACTTATGTGCAACGCTTTTAGTCTCTATACACATCTATACAGTACATAGTTAAGGACTTAATGATATATTTAAACATTTATTTAATTGAAAAAGCTTTGCTGTTGTGGTAGTGGATATGATTCTTGTTGGATGTGGTGACAATTTCCTTGCTATTAAATTCACAGAGAAACGGTTAGACAGATCTACAACTGATTGCAGGACACCAAAAAACAATCTGTTAAATTAGTCAAATTACATGCACCATTAATTTAGCTACAAATTGAAAACATAGGGAATGTTTCCAAATTGCCTATTTGCAAACCTCATTGCACTATAGTATGCAAGCAGTGTCCGAGTTAAATAAACTCTTATCAGTGTGCTCAAAATGCATCGTGCGTCTCTGCACTGAAGGAAAATGTTTCCAATACCAGCAGGAATTATCCACAAACTACAAACAGCAAAATTAAGGTTGCACTCCATCTATCTTAACATATAAATACATATTTCTAAAATACATTCTAGTTTTTCCAATACATGCCTCTACCATACTCAAGTGGACATGAACCACAATAAATAAGAAAAGGTTGTTGTGCTTCATTGTTCACACATCGAAGAATGTCTCTGGTTTTCAGTCAGTGTTGCCTTCAGACTTTTAAAGCATATTTGTTTAACCCTACCTGGTGTTCTGCAAGAACTCCATGATATTAAAGTGGTGCAGGGACGACGCATTTCTTTAGGCCGACCTGGAAGTTAGCACTGCATTGGTTCTCATAACAAGAAGTCAATAGGATTGTTCTATCAGGCTTTGGATTAGACTCTTACATATCTCAGTGACAAACAAAAGGTTAAGTACACGTATTGTTCAGAAAGACAATCTTAACAACTTAAAGCCACATCTATTATTGAGGCATAAATTCAACCGCCAGGAGAACATAGCTAACGTAAGGCTATAAACAATCTACACAGTTGCATAGCTGAGGTCACCACCACGACGCTAAAGGCAGACTAGTGTTTGGTGTGATGCTGTTTAGTAGTTTAATTTAGCCACTTGTTAGCAACCACCTATTTAAAGACAGGTAAAAGCTTAAAGCGTAGTATTTATGTAGAGCAACAGAACAGTACAATATCTTAAACTAGTGTTAATCACCAACCTCAGTCATTTATATCAAAAGCAAGTCACCAAAAGCATATTTAAAAAAAACACATATTGACTTTGTCACAAAGGACCTGGAAGTGTTAAATGCTAACTCATTTACAGATTTAAGGATTCATTCCTGCACCACTCTATAGTTGCATCTCCTATGGAGCCCTTGCATGAACCCCAGTACAGCAGATCAAGTTCAAAGATGGTAAAAGAAGACATCCGTTTGTATACTATTTGTGTGTATTTTCTACATATTAGTAGATTTCAGGCAGATTAGTGTAGTTTCTCCCCCAGTAGCCTTTCGAGTAGAGCCAGTCCTGAGCTTTGGTGTGAGGGTTGGGTCCTTGTTGAAACCACCTGCAGAGTTTTAACAATGATAAACAACAACAACAACAACGACAATCTACTTAATAACAGGGTTCCTGCAGGTTTCGCCTACTCAAATTTAAGACTTTTTAAGACCTTTTTAAGACCACTTTGAATAGAATTTAAGACCTATTTCACGGCAAGAAAGTATGAAGGAAAATTGCTATGAAAGAAGAAATACGTCCCATAATTACTTACAAAGTAAATGTAAAGGCATAACAGTACAGCACTGTGTTAGCGTGTTAGACAAAAAGTGTATGTGTGTGTGTCTGTGTGTTAGGGGTGTGCAATTAATCATATTTTAATCGCAATTACGATTTTGGCCTGCCACAATTACGAAATGATTTTGCTTTGCTAGGTTGTGACAGTGCACTACAACATATTTGATCTAATTAATTAATTAATTTATCATATTTATACATGTTTAATAGCTTGTGGAAGTGCGCTCCAAAATATTTGTTGATCTTGTTTATTGGTATTTATTATTTTGATATTATTTATTTAAATGTATAATTTATTTTTGTATTGGTTTTGCAGTTGAATTATAGGTTCAGGGTAATCAACAGTTAAAATGATACTGTTCAAATTATTATTTGTTTTAAATAATTAACACATTAGCAAAACAAACGCTAATTTATTTTTCAAAAGGTGCAGCGGGCTTCAAACACGTTCCCCTCCACTGGTTTCAACCAAGCACTAAATTCGATGTTTTCCAACCAAATACGGTTGAACTTACACTTCCCCATATTTATTTGTAAGTAGATTCTAAGATACATTAGTTTCTGACTGTCGCTAGATGAAGCTTGCTTGCTAGGTTACTAGCTGGGTGTTCTCCAATAAGGGGCCGGGGGAAACAAAGTTAGTGATTACTGGTTCCATGTTGATTTATTTCAATACAAATTGTTGGGGGGAACTGAAAGGCTCTTACCGTACTGGTTACTTTGCAGCCCGGACATTTCCCCCAAAACACATATAGACGCGATCGCAACACAGAAGTACCTTTCAAATCCCATCATTTTTAAGACCTTCTAAATCATATTTAAGACCTTTCTTATTTTTTTGGTCATATTTAAGACCTTTTTAAGGCCTTAAATTCAGATTATCAAATTTAAGACTTTTTAAGACTTTTTAAGACCCCGCGGGAACCCTGTAATAAGAGTAAAGCACTTTGAGGTAGCAAATAGATTGAAAAGTCAGACAAAATGTAAAACACACGCAATTATACTACAGTAGTCCTCCTTGTTCAAACTAAAAATTCCAATGAAATGTATGAGTGTCTTGTCAAATCCATCAATAACACACAGCTGTAGTTGCATATGTTATCCTGGGGAGGGTGGTGTAGTGCAGCACTTCACATAAACACAAAGCAAAAAGCAAAGCTTAAAACCAAACCTTGGACCAAGTGCAGCGCTCCTTCTCAATTATTATACAGGGTTGGCATAATTGATAACACAAGACAACAGGGAGGCAATTAGTGTAAAAAATAGCAATGGGGCAATGAGCGCACAACATCATATTTACTAACTAACCTGTTTTTCCATTCATCTGTTGATTTGGTGCGATTTTTCCGGGCCATTCTCTGTTTTTCCTCAAGTCTCTTCTTCTCTGCACTTGCCAAATCTAAAAAAAAAAAAAGGCATAGATTTAGAAACATGAATACCACCAGGGAAGGTATTTAAGCAGATTTAGTAATATGTCCTCATTCTAGGTTATACAATGTACCTATATCTCCATTCTCCATGGCGCATATATCAGGTCTGAAGCGACTGTCTGTTTGGGGAATAACTCCCTCCATGCTCTTCTCCAACTCATTTAGGTGCATGGCGAAGGAAGAGAATGCATAGAACTGCAAGAGAGAATATATTACCACAACATTTCAACTGTCAGAGGATGTGCAGCAACATACAGGGTTTCCTCACATTTCACATTTCCGGACTTTTCAATAGATTTTCTACTTTTATCTTTCGTTATGGAAACAATACTTTTCTTTTTTTTGCAATACTGTTTTTCAAGACATGAAAATCACAAAACATCTAATTCAATACTTCATAGGATTCCACATCATACAAAAGTCCTAACATTATAGTTTCACGATGTAAAGAAAGCCATAAAAAAGTATAACAAAGAAGACTTCAAAAAGTCCAGTATGTTATAAAAAGGTCAAAAGTCAAATACTATTTTAAGTATTATTTATCACAAAAAAGTCATAACAAGTCGGAGTATAGTGTTGTTGTCCTGTCTCCGGTACCTTGGCGGAGTTGTCTGGCCGTGGCGTTATCTTCCAGATGAGCTCGCTGCCGGGGATCACCGTCACCGTCTCAGCGTCAGGTGGAGGAACCTCCTCCGGCTCCTCGTCCACACTGCTCTGGGGTAACAGAGATACACAGACATACGTTTTACCCAGAACAAGAGGCAGAAAACAGTAGACTTTTAAAGCAATCAAATATAATACCTGTTTATTCCCCTTCTTTTCATCCAGATTCTTTTTGTCACTCTTTTTGTGAGCATCAAAGGCAGCGGGGTCTACTGTGTAAAGGCAATCAGTCCATTTGCCATATATTGCACAGAGCTTCTTTTTGCTGCAAACGCACGAAGAAGAAATGCTATAAAAACACGGCTTTGGATGCCTTTGATATTTGACATGTATTTCAGTGTAACTGTTCTGAAAGCTTGAGGAGTAAAACTGATATGACATAAACTGATTAAATCACATAAGACACAACTGTCATATTCACGTTGCTTTCAGGCAATACTAAACATCAGAAATTCAAAAGGTAATTACAAATAAAGAAGATACCTTTTATCCAAGATGAATCCCTCCACTTTATGTAGCTCTTTCCCAAAGAGGCCACAGGGTTTGAACATCATGCTGCATCTCTCTCCGGTCCTGCCACAGAATGACAGACTATTTACCAATTCTCTTTCACTTTTCTCCTTCTGCGCGCTGAGGCTCTCAAACATTAATTATCCTGCTCCTCTGTTCTGATGGCAAGTGTCCCAGTTCTGCTTCCATGATCAATAAGCTGAATCTCAAAGTAGACTAACACCCCACTGTAGAGCGCAGAGAGAAAAATATTCTCTTGCAATGTGCATGCAAATTCACCAGGCGAGAACGCATTTGCAGACAAACAGAAAAGCACAAAGAGAAGGGAATCATTCTTACTTGTGATTTATCACTTCCACACTGCCATACTGCTCAATCCAAAGCTGACCGACAATGATGTTATGGACACAGCAGGTGGGGTTTGTCCAGGTGTAGCTTTCATTATATCTGCAAAAAAGGTAAAGATGAAACTCATTCAAAAAGGAGTCAGGGCAGAGTTGTAAAGCAGTTTTAAACTGTGCACTCACTTGGGCAGCTCCAGTGTGATGAGTCCTTTGGGCTCAGCTTCTATACTTTTACCCCAAAACTTGAGTTTGGGGTAGATGGAGCCATGGAAGACAAAATCCTCTTTGAGGCCCTCAGCATGAAAGGCACTGACTGGAGGGTGGTGGCTTACCTGCTCCGACACCCACCTGAAGCCCAGATCGTCTCTGATGGAGAAGAGGGAGGAGTTTGGTGTTGCATTATGTTATAAATCTTCAATTAATGTTTAGTTTAATATGACCCATAACACATTTGTGCATTGAAGGTACCAATGACTCCATTGTCTCACCTGATGAGCTCATAGGTCTCCCCCAGCAGAGGGTTGAAGGGTTTCCCAGTCCTGTCCCACTGCGACGCTACTGCCGACACAGCAAACGCTGCAACACACTACAGAGCACTGATGTATTATAACCAAATTACAAGTGACTCATTCAATTTTTGATAATGACAAAAAATATACTAGGAAAAGAGCTAAAACATAACTTTAATGATAAGCGACAGATGACACTATTTTTTGTGTTTTTTAAAGTAAACTTTGAAGTGCAGTACCTTCATCCTCTCAACGGAGTCTGTAGCTGTGTTGGCCTGGTGGATGAGGTAGGTGTGCTCCATGTACTCTGATAACCGCTGGAGGAAACTCAGAGGCTCATTGAATATCACAGGCATGGCAATCTTTGACAACTCCTGAAAAATATGTTGGAGAAGACAGGATCATTGCAACGTGGAAATACAACCATTTTATGACTAAAAAATGTAGGTCTTTTGAGATATGGATGTATGTATACTCATAAAATCCACAGTTATATTACATTTTTTGGTTGTGTTGCAAACTGACTCTTTTCTATCTATTCAAACACTCAACTGCAACAACTATGCTTTATCGGACACACACAAACCAAATGCAGTGATTTCAAACACAAGGAAAGGAAAAAGTGGTAAAACAATGAATAATTAACTTATCTCTACACAACAACCACATGATTGCACTCTTTCACAAACTCTATGCGTACCCCATGTCTGTATATCTATCTGTCTACCCTCTGAATTGCGTATTCATGAATCATTAGTCACATTTAATTGGGGAATAAAACATTAATAGACATTATTAAATGTAATTAACTTCAGGCAGGCGCTGGGTGAGGACTAAGCTCCCTTAGGACTTGAAGACACTGATATTAATGACTATGTTCCCAAAGCCATAAGTTAGGGAGGAAGTACAAGAGCAATTTATCACAACCCAAAAACTTTGAGTAAGGTACATTTCACAAGCCTACTTTGCCCAACAGTAAAGTGAAGCATAACAAATAAAAGGGTAAATCTGCCTAAGGAAAATAGTCTGTTCTCACCATGCCAATGCATTTTTTCAGGATACTCCAGATGCTGACGTCATTCCTGGAGAACATGGGAGCCGGCAGTGATGTTCTGTAGGACAGTGGTGTAAAGAGAGGGAGAATACAGTCAACTTGACAGAACATTTCATTAACGAAGAAGATTGAATTTTACACAAAAAATAAACAAACAGTAAAAACGGGCACCTGAGGATAGGACATCTGGTCTCCTCCACACTCAAAATAATTTACTTCCATTACAACAATAATATTTTTGCTTGCACTATTTAAAAGCTGCAGAGCAGACACCACAGCTTGAACTGATGTTTGGATACACAGTCACCTGACACCTGTAAGCTAATGAGCTTTCAGCTGGCCTTTTCAAGCCTCATGCAATACACATGAGTGGATTTACAACTGCATGTGTTGGTTTACAAGACCGGTTATAAGATACACTCCTTAAATTGGTATTTCATGTGAAACTTGGCTCAAAAACATCTCTCACTTAAAGATAGTCCCATTTGCATTTCTTTAGATTCATTGTGGTTGAGCGTTTTAACTCACGCAGTACAAACGCAACTGCTTTACTACTCTCTCTCATATGAAGCCTTTGCTGCTGCACTAAATCCTCTCTGTGTTGTTGTTGAGTTTATCTTCCAGCCTTGCTAACAGCTGTAGTGAGGAGTGTTTTACAGGTATGCTTGCTGGAGGCAGATGGTGCCCTTGTTTAAAAGTGTATGGAAGCAACTACACAAATAAAAGCCATTACTTCAGCTAAATAAACAGAGAGGTTAGGAGTGGGGGTTTGCTCCATCTGTGGGATGAGCAGCGCGGTGATGCATGGCAGACTTTACGTCTGGCCTAGTTTGTGTTCCTCTGCCCAAAACAGTTGAAACTGAAACACAGGCCAACTTAAAGTGAGAAAGGACTTTCTATACACATGGACATGCTATATCCAAATGTTAAGCATTCAGATCTTACAGTCAAAGAGCCATAATGACTGATAAATGCAGACCAATTATCCATTATCCTAAAGAGTGTACAGTATACTGTAGTAAGCAGCAGTCCTTGTAATAAAGAAGAGAGAGCAGAGAGATGTTGTACAACCCATCTTCAGGCAAACAGGGACAGCTGTATCTTTGATTGACAGGAGTAATACCAAATAAACAGACACCTCATGAATCCTTAATGCACAACACACACAAGTATACACGTATGCACACAGAGATAGCCAGCCAGTCCCCTTTCCTCCAACTCTGAGCCAGCACTTGTTGAATTATTCATGGGTCACTTGGATTAAGGAAGAGAGGCCGAGCCAGAATCAGCATCCACGGAAATGAAAGAGATTGTCGAATCTTCACGGGAATATGAAAAAGAAAACCCGCGCCAATCACCAAGCACTACGTTGATTATTCGCCTGGAGAGTTGGATCTGTCAGGAAAAACAAACCCGGCTATTCTCTGTGGATTGGGTGCTCAAACAAAAACACATGACTGGAAAAACAGAGCGGAGTGTAAAGCTGGTTTCTCATTACACCGACTGTGCCTTTTTACCTGCCTATCCTCCTGCTGACTGAGATCTGCAACCAGTCATCAGGCACACATGATATTCAATTTAGTTTCAATTCAAAGTCATACACTACTAAATCCAGCCACCAGTAGTGAATATCATCTTAAACAAAGCCTTGCACATAATAAACAGTGAATGGGCTGTATAAAGAGCATTCCGTATTTCCACTTGTCCCCTTTGCCATCTTTTACATCCAGAAAACAACAAGCATGACATCATAACTGGAGCACGTCCCACCTTTGATTCTCCACTCCGTTCTGCTGGGCGGGTTGGTTGCCATGGTTACCCTCCCCTGACATTCCTGTAGGCCCCCTGAGTGCGCTGGGACGGCGGAGACTGCTGCGAAGGGGGGTGTCTCTGCCCTCGTCCTCTTCACAGGAAGGACTGGCCACAGACAGGAAGCCGCTCACCGAGAGCTCCGACTCCGACTCTGTGGGATGATGAGAGGGGGCAGATGCCAGGTCATGCCAAACAAACACACACGCACACACACACACACACGGACTCGAGTGGCCGGCTCGGAAAGCTGCACTACACTGTTTGCGAAATAAGCACTTGTGCTCGAGTTCCTCTCTAACTTCCTCCTCCCTGCTGCCAGCCAAAGCCCACCTGAGGATTGTGTTCCAATGAGAGGCCACACAGAGGCTTCATTTCCTCCAACATTGTTTGCTCTGTGCTCTCTGGATGCTACTCCTCCCCCATCAGTGACATTACAGGTACTGTCACTGACACAAAGGGGAGGAGAGGATAGTGTGTACAGTCTAAAGACACGACAGCTGCATGTCTGTAGTCTCTAAACAGTCATCAAGGTTTTATATCTTAACATGTGAAAATATAAATGAAAGTTTAGAGTGTACAGGCAGAGTGTGTCTGGCTAGAGGACAACTCGGGAGACATCTATAAATAATGCAATGATTCCCGACTGGTCAGTGCAGAAACATGATGTAGAAGGAAGTCTAGTGTAAATAATCACCATGGGGAGAAGCTATCTTTGTAGAATCCATTATAGATGTTGCTGATGTATATGCTCCACATGATAAACATGCTAGAGCAGTAAGCACTGTCCATTTTGTTTTGAAAATGATTCACGACAAATACTTATGTTGAAAACTAAAGCAGTAAGGCTAATCACCAGCTCATAAGCTCTCAGTAGAAGAGAAGAGGATATTGGCAGTGTTGTCTTGGCAATTTCAGAGACAGATAAGGTGCCAAAGGAGTGTCAGTGGGTTCAACCAAATACACACACTAACACACAAGCACAGTGAAGCTTAATTTCTTAACCTATTAACAGCCTATTATTATTTTATTTAAGTGAGAATGAAACGCTGAAGAAGTTCAAAGCAAGAACAACATGCATTGCTGGAGGTACATGTATGTCAACACACAATTACAGTTACAATTCTTAAAGTTACCCTATGGAGCTTTTTTTTTTTATAACCATACAAATGTCCTTTTCTAATAGTTTTCACTGACACACTTATTAAATGCCTTCTTCATTAAAGAATTGCAGAGCAGATTATTTATTTTTTAATGTGCATTGTTTACATCGATGTTTGCAAACCAGCACTCTTCTTCCCTGTCCTACTTCTCTACGCTGTACTGCCTAACTGCTGACAGTTGTTAAACAGCGGAAAAGGGAGAAACCATCAGCAGAAATGTGTGTCCTTTTCCTGAATAAACAAAACAGGGACCCACTAGGAAAACCCTTGTTTTAAGGGAGCTTTACAATCAGAGACATGAGCACGACGTGGCCATGAAACTGTATGAAGAACAAGATATACTATACTAAAGTACTGATCTAGTTTAACTCCAGTAGTGATATTAACGCCTTTACTTCAGTAACACTCCAGGTATCTCACCTGACACAGCGTCATAGAAGTCATCTTCAGTGAGGGTACTGAGGGTGGACGACCTCCTGCTCTTACTCAGGGACTGCTTGAGTTCGTAGTGGTCGGTTGACAAGGTCTCCAGAGCCTCCGTCAGAGCTTTGTTCTTCTCCTCCTCTTGCTCCAACTGCAGGCTCCACACCTGAAAACACAGGACCACCAAACAGATGAAACGTACAGACACACACTCAATACATTATGCTTATTTACATATCGCTCTAACATGTGAGCAGTATATTTGTCATGGAAAATCTGGCAGATTTGTGACTGACTGGTGGTTTGATTGATATGAAGGTATTGATCTGCTTATCTAGCTGCCAGTTTGTGCGTCTTTGTGGTTCTCATGGCAGGTCATTGTTCTGACCCTGCCCACATATCTGGTTTCCTCCAGTCGGAACCAAACACCCCAGTCTCGGACAGCTCTGAAGCCCAGGATTGAGTGTCCCTTCATGGCAACCTGAGCCAGGCCACTGAGGGACAGACCAGCTGAGTGTTTCCTATTGTCTAACGCTGCCGTTGTACGTCCTTTGCTAACCAAACAGAAGACAGGAAAGTCAACCAAAATCCACAGATGCTCGCACAAATTACATAACATTTGATAATCGCTATAACCACACCTTTTGTTAAAAAATTGAAAAAGCACATTTAGGAATTTAAAGGTGGGGTAGGTAAGTTTGAGAAACCGTCTCGAGATACACTTTTTGTTATATTCCATGGAATGCTCTTAACATCCCGATAGCAATGAATATCTTAAGTGCTTTGACAAAAAATCCATAAAGAAATATCATCTGTGGAAGCCGTAATACTGTAAAAAGCACGACCAATCATTTTAGCCAGCTCGGCTAAAATAACTGGATGGCCTACCTGCCTGTCAGCCTTCCATCTGTGCACAAACTTATCTCGTGCCCTCATTGGTCATGTGCGCGTTCGTGTGTGTTGGAGGAGGGGCTCTGTAAGGAAGTGGCAGATTTTCTCCGGTTGTGTATTTTCAAATTCTAGCGCACTCGAGCTGGTTTCTCCAAAATTACCTACCCTACCTTTAATGCATCTCCAATTAATATAAAAGGAGAGAAAAAATATTCTCAAAGTAAAGAAAGCAATCATTTATGCTCGTAAAGATAGAGGAAAGGCTCCACGGTTTATAAACACTCAGTCACCTTGGGAAAGGCAGCTGAGAGAAACAGGAGCTTGTAAATCACACTGTAAATCTGAGACTGCAAAGCAGAGCAAACGTCTTCTTTTGAAGACCAGAAGTTTGTCCTCATCTCTTATACTGCCTGAATTACTATCAGCTGTGTGCACAGCCATGCAAAGAGAAACACCTGCCAGTGCATCTGCTCGAGGGTAGGGTTAGAATTCATGCCGGTTACTCTAACTCACTGATTTCCTTTTCAGATATTTGGTTTAAACCATCATGGGGGAGACAATGTTTAGGTTATCACCTTCCTCCTTATCACTATAGACTATATTGTATGGGATCAACAAGGTCACAAAGATCATTTCTAAGATATTAACTGTGATATTCCCATAAAAAGAGTACATAAAATGGCCCTGAGTGACTGTCAGCGGCTCAAACTGTATATCAGGAACATAAAGAGCTCCAGACTCTTGTGGTCGAGATCAGGCCACATGATGGATGAGGAAGTGAAAACTCTGAGGGGCATATCAACCAATTTGCTGATTGTTTTTTTCTTCAAGGCTGACGATCTAGCTTTTGGTAATAAATATTGATCGGTTTAAATGCACGCATTGTTGATCCGAGTCACACAAATACAAGCTAAGGATTTATCATGTAAATACTTTCCTGAAATACATTCTGTAGACCCGATTCCTTTTGTGCCGTACTGTAGACTTCACTCAGCACAACTTCATCATAGATACAGTAAACAAAGGTGAGAATGACTCATGTGCAACTATACACAGATCCTAATTCAGCAACAGAGAATAAAACAGCTCTGGTCCATGTGCTAAAGTTGATATTAATATAAAGCTGAATATCTGAATGTATCCAAAAACACATAATCACAGTTATCCAAGTCCATGCTAAAAATAATAGACTTAACGTCGCAATAAGATCTTTGCTGTAACTGTGAGAGACGCTCATTGGCAGCTTCATAAACACGAGACTCAACAGCTGCCTGGCACCTGCAGTCCAGGAGAGACTTCACTGTTCACAGTCATGTCCTCACTCTTCCTATGCTCTATGTTTAGCTCCTGTACAGTAGGTCATGTTTAAAATACAATTCTAAATGTGAGAAACCCACAAAGAAATATATTTTTCCTCCAACTGTGAGATATGTCATACACACAGCTATATAAAAAGTATGGACACTAATTGGATTTTTATCATGAGGAAAAAATACATCTAGGGAAAAGCAGTATTATCATACCGTTCTAAGTTGTAGTGCAAGTCTACAAATTTGCCAAAATATGACCTTCAAGGAACAAGCTCTTGCTAATAATGAGACACATTTCACAAAATAGAATGCCCTTGCAAGCCTCCCCAATAATTAAATTCTCTTTTTTTTTTTAAACGTATGGTTGTAAAGTAAATTAGTCTGCTGTTAGGGAGCTGGTGTTAACACTTCCTGTCCCAGGCACTTGGCTTAATAGCCCATCCAGGAACAGAACACTTTGTTGTGTAACTATCTCAGCCAGCTCTTTCATTCTCCCAGCATCCTCTCGCCTGAACACAAACAGCGCTATTTTAAGCCCTGCTGAGGCTGTGCTGTCGCTGGAGCCCGGGAGGGAAGCTTCTCCTTGGCCAACATCCCAGAGGCGAGAGCATTGTCTTTGTTTTTTTAAATGTAGCTTTCTCTACTGAGAGGGGAAGCACATTATTATAGCTTTACACAGTACTGAAATATGTAACTGTTTGTCAAACTGTACATGACTATATGATGCCTGGAAGCAACTACAACTATTTTAAATCGAGAAATACAGTACCAATTACACAGAAAAACTCTGTATCCCAAGTTTCTCTCTGTACATCTACACCATTGGCTTTAAAGGTCAGATTCTGATATGAGTTGAGATACAGTACGGTTGAATAAACACTTCCAGATCTCGTATGACCCGGAAAAGAAGAAGGCCAGTGCAGGGACCAACAGGAACATTTATCTGTGCCCAGTGAAGTCTATCCTGGGTGAGAGATGACAGTCAGCAGGTCAGATACCCATGTGGCGATACTTGTTGATGTTAAGGTCAAATGGTACTTTGTGCTTTTTCAAATCCCCAAGGTGTTGTAGGGTGTTTTACAGACTGTTGACAGAAAGCTATGACATACAGCTTAGGAAAAAAAAATGCTCTGCCACACTCCTGGCTTCAGAGCAATATAAACTGACAGATACTGTATGTGTATCTTCGTGTCACCACTAAGTGGTTTCACGCTGGAAGCCTCCATTTGTTTTCTTGACAGGTGTGGAAGCCTGCTGCCTGTGAAACACTAAGAAAGGATGGGCTTATAAATCTGCGTTGTGTGCATAAAAGTTAACAGCAGAGATTTCTCCACTTTACATTTCGTACAGTCACCAACCAGTCAGTCAAACTGTGCCCAGTATGCACTGTATAAATGTGGCACTCTCACTGGCACTTTTTTCCCCTGCAGCTGCTGCTGAAATGGGTCAGACCACAGATACTCGCCGAAGAGGAACACTGCATTTGCTTTGAAACATGCTTCTTTATATCACATATGCCCGGACGTCATAGTACATCTGTAGTGTACATTACGTACTTTGTAGACAACAAATTGCAGTCTAAGTGGCTGCATCAGAAAGGATCTGTGGCAGACAATGCTAATGGGGGATTAGAGTTAACACTGCCTAATACAGCCAATCACAGCAGTGTAGAAAATATAATCCAGTAAGTACATCTAGTAGAACCAGTTTAGCATGAGATCACTAGTGGATATACAGTAGCATGCTTGTTAAGACATTTCCTTTTCATTATACTAATCTGGTTGTCAGAAATTAATTGTCTATCCATAGTTATGATACTTCTTGGATGATGAAGGCTGCCATAAATGTTCTCAGCCTCCCTGTGATAACAGTGCCGAGTTATTCCTTGTGACAGGACAGCAGCTGTTGCCAATTCATACTCACATAATGAGGTTTGGCAATGCACACATCACTCTGTAAACATGCTGCGTTTGGGCATTGTTGTGCGATGTTATATCCAGCTGATCCAAAGCAGCATTTGACTGTATCTGAGGGAAATTATGACATCTTCACCTTATAATACAAATACACACACCTGTAGATATGGGAATCCATACAATTATAACAACCAGCAATTAATTTGTAATTAATTGAGAAAAGTATAACACCAATTCACAATTATATGATTCAAGTTCTGGCATTACAGTGAAACACAAAAGACAGCTGCTGTGTTATAATGATTTACAGCCTGGTTAGAAGTGTTACTTTAAATAACACAATATCAAAAATATAATATATCCCTCTTTATGCTTTTGCTTTGACAGAAATCATTACACAATGAGAAGATCTCAGTAAAAAGACTCAATGAGAAGTGTAATGCTCAGTACCACTTTAAAAATGCTCAATTTAACGCTCAGAATTCAGATCATTACATACCTGATAATGACTTCCGCATATTGATGAATACCATACGCATAATGTGCCAACGCTCAACAATCAGCCATCAAATCAAAGCCACTAAAAACATCAGAATCAATCAAATATATCGCTAACTTCAAACACTTCACTCTACAGTGAGGCATCAGGGACCAGCCCATTGCAAGCAGAGTCAGCTGCTTAGCCAACAATGAAAAAAACAGATAAGATACAAGAAGAACAACTGTTTGGTTTGTACCTGTGCAGATACTGGATGAGAGTGCCGTCACTGTCTCCTCTTGCTCCTCAGCTTGGATGCTCTGGCATGTGAAAGTGTGCCTGCAAGCGTGTATTTTGACTGAGTGAGGATGAAATCATGTATCTCCAGCTGAGCCTGTGAATATGCACGCGCTTCAGTTCCCCCGCTCAATGCACAGCCTTTCCCTAGAGCGGGAGTGTGTGGAGCCAAGTCCAAGGGTGTGTGACTGTATGTGTGTATCAACACTGATCTGCAAGCTGAATGCAGACCTAAGCATAAAAGCGGATCTCGCCGGTGTCCTTCCTAGAGTCATGCCACCGATTACCTCACTGTTCCATTACTCTACAGCAAGGACACAGCCCAGCCAATGGGACAGCTGGACAGGGACACACACAAACTTCAAGCCTGATCCGTATGAGGGAGATAACATTAAAAGGGAGGAGCTTGAGGATTTTGTAATCATTCAATATAATTTACTCAGCCAAATAGGAGCCGAGCACGTTGGTGAGTATATGGGTATCGATGAGATGAAAATGAAGCTGAGTGGACTGCAAATTGTCACAAATGTCACATTTCTGCATCACAAGGATAACACTGTTTCACGTGCATAAAAACAATAATTACAATAATACTCCATATTAGACTAATTCTGGGATTTGTAGTCTTTCTAGTTGCATATTTTTCATAGTCTTATATTTCAACAGTTTTACGACAAACTGTGACTTTTTTGACATGGAAATGATTATTTAAGATTGACAAACATCATACGTGTAATTCGTGGCACAATTCAAACGGGATCGAAAGATAATCTTTCTCTCCCCATTGACTTCAATGCATAATTTTTCCGAAATAAGGTCCCATGGGTCGGAAGTAGATGGGCGGGACTTCGCCTCTCTATACTGTACCTCCTCCTGTTTTGACAGCAGTTCAAGGCACAGATGGAGAGCAGCACAGGTTTCACTGGAGAGCTCACTGGTCTCTTTGGCTTTCAGTAGAAGTGGGGCAGGCAGTGCTGTTTCAAAAACAAAATAAAAATAATACATGTTCAGTGCAGATACATTGGGCTACAACTGAGTTAGCATTGATTAATTTGTTGTTTTTGTCACGATATGTCAGAAAATAGGGTTAAAAAAAAATCACAGTGACAAGACCAACAATCAACATGCTAAAGATTTGCTCATTCAATAAAACAGATTTATGTGTTATGTGTCCATGCTAAAAGATCAATTAAAGAGTGAGGGGTTAGGTCACTGTGTCAACTAGCAAAAGGCTAAACGACTCGTGACATTTTATATCCATGCCTATTCGTGACCCCCTCATAAAGGTTGAGTATGTTTATAAACTCAGAAGGTCAAGCGCTGTGGTTCTCAACCTTATCGAGTTGCACCTCCCCCGCAAACAATGATTAGATAAAAGTTGGAAAAAACGTCACTAAAATGTTACCTTCTTTATCGTTCTTTCCACTCACATTTATCCTAAAGCCTCTTGAAAGGACCCGACACCCAGGTAAGTAAATCGCAAGGTTAAGGTTTGGTCTAACAAAATTGTTTTTTTAATTCGTTTTTCTATCCATTTACTAAATAATCAATTATCAAATCATTTCAGCACTAGGATGAAATTATCGGAAATAAAGGACACCGAATTAACAACAACAATAATACGGGAACAATTCCAGGACTCCTACCACTGTTCTCCTCATTCTTCACCATTGAGAGAAATATTGACACTTCACTCTCCAATTTCTGCTGGGAAGCGTTGGCTGCCTGCAAGAGCAGAAGACAAAAGAGACACTCACTTATTGGAATCCTCCTCCTTAAAATAGCACTTCCTTCCCACTGCCACCTTATAAAACACCTGACACCTTAAAAAAGGTCTGACATTTATTTTACCTGAAGGGCTTGTGGCAGATTCCTCACTGTTTCTTCAGCACAACCATTGGCATCGATGATCAATTCTTCTTGGGTGCAGTGGCGAGTGCTGTAGGATGAATGTGCCTCAAATGCATCTAACCATCTCTAAGTGCACAAATATCAGAAATATTTACAAATGTCCACCCTTTCGGATTCACTTAGACCAGGGGTGTCCAAACTACGGCCCGGGGGCCAAATGCGGCGTGCGGACCATTTGGATTCGGCCCTCAGCAAATTAAAAAAGTATAATGAAATATGGCCCACAAAGGAAACTTGTGCTTGTCTTATATTGTACTTCTTAAATATAAATGTAAAAATATATTACACAGTAGTATTCATGTGTTAATAAGACCACTTTTCAAATAGATTCAGTCAATTAAAGTTGGAAACATTTTCTAACATATCTTAGTTGATAAGAAAAAAGCCCAATAACTTATTTACATAACAAGCTTGAAATACACCCTTCCTATTTCTCCTTATTATAATCAATCGGAGGCTTCTGTTTTAAGGGATAAGCTGCTAACACTCACAAGCATCATTTACCTACATTTGATTGATTTTGCTAACTTATAACTGAACTTATGAGGCAATATACCTCTAGTGAGTGGCCCAGCCCTTCGTATATTTTTTTCCGTATGTGTCCCTCTGTGAAAAAGGTTTGGACACCCCTGACTTAGACAAATCAGTCAGATTGTTCAGAGAAGAGATATTGCATTAGCTCAGAAGGTGAATATCAACTCACTTTTCTTGTTGCCACTGAATCAGTCTTTGAGGAGACCTTGAAATAATGTACAGTGTCATCAAAACACTTAAGCATGAAGAAGCAATGATCCCATGGTTTGACCTAAAATGACACAATTAAATTAATTACAATCACGCTTGCTGCACGATCTGTCAAACATCACCATGTCATCACAACGGAAACATCCAAGGGGCATTCTTGTATAGTCATGAATGTTCAATCAATTACTACTTACCATGCAGTAGGCTTTTGTTAGAGACTTACACCCTTGTTTTCTGACACCAGCCAGGGCATCAGCCCTGAAAAAAAGAAACTAATGAGAGAGCACATAGACACACTGTATAATAAAACTGCACTAATTTACCAACAGTACACATGTAGAAGCTGTTTAAAGTTCCAGTTTCCCTGAATGCTTTGGCATCGTCTGGTTAAATGTAGCTTAAAACACAGAGCCAATCAAGGATAGCAGGAGTAGCTAGAGAGAAACTTCTACCATGACAAACAGTAGCATACATACATACATACATACATAATGTAATAAAAACTATACTATACATACTATATATTTTGTATCTAAACAATTGGCATACATAAAGTTATCTCACTTTCTGGGATACCAGGAGAGCGTTCCATCCTCAATGACCACCCAGTGGGATCGCCATCCCAGAAAGTGTGAACTCTGTCAGAGACATGTGGAGTAAAATCAGAAACTATTTTGCAAAAGTAGAAGATATAAATGGTTCAATATATTATAGAACATATAGGTTTGAATATATTTTTTAATCCATTTTGATAATATTCAAAATAAACAGATGACACAAGTCATTATATACAAAACAAAGAATAAAAAGGGTTTTGAGAGATTTCTTAAATATATAATAATGCTATTGTGTGGCATAATAAGAAAAAAGTCAAGTCTATACCATCAAATGTGTCTGAAAAGAATCATTGCCTGACATATTGGAAGTAGAAAAAGAATACACTTCAACATCTGGGTACCTTCCAAAGAGGGCCTTCAATCTTCTTCACCCCACTGCTCTCATCCTTTGTGGAGAAAAAATAATAATTCTCAGACTTGTGTACAGACCATGGTACAGACACAGGCTGATTGACAGGCTTTAAGAGGTTTTGTTAAGACCAGACACACTCAACTCAGTTTTCCTTTTGTATTACAGTAAAACCTGCATCGTGTCAGAAGTATATACATTTAAATGTTCTTAGTAGACAAGCACTTGTTTTTTCTTCATCACAATGACTAAGCAATGTTCTGCAGTGAAGCTGTGCCAATTACAGTATATTACACATTGAAGCAAAAACAAGGAAGGCTGTCTTGCAAGGCTTTTCTCCACAGCCACCAGACCTCAAGTGAACACATTTATAAATATATGAAAGAGGAGAGTGAACAAATATAGTTGTGTGGACCTTTATTTTGGCCCAGAGCAAGATAGCAATAAGGAGAAAAATACAAACACCTAATAAGGTGCTAGAAATAATTAATTTTGACTCATAGTCAGAAATTCCCTCGTGGATAACTCAATTTTGAAATGTTTAATCTTCTGGGAGATGTGAAGGAACTTAGTTATTTTTACTGGATATTTGTTTATTAAACTGAGATTTTTCCTAGCTAGATTTTGCCAAATGGTTGTGAAAGAGGAGATGCCAGAGGATCACAAAATGTCCCTGCTCCTATTAAATGTAAGGGGTGGGAAATGCACTACCTTAACCTTTATATATTTTTCATTATTTTCTTTCAAAAGGAAAACTTCATTACCTTAAAACTGAAAAACGACTTATCTTCACGTACCCTGACTTGATAGGCTGCTAGAATCAGTCTCAGTTCATCACTGCGGGTCAGGTCTAAAGCAGTCTGGTCTGCAAAAGTTAGCCATGCAATAAATTACGTTGCAATACCCAAGCACAAAACTAATAGAACCTACTGTAGTATTTACACAAATGTATATTTAAAAAAAAAGAAGAAATATTAACTCCAAAATGACCAGATTAAACGTTATGCACTAAAAATGCATTAGTAAGAGTATAAAGAGATGAATTACCATGGGTGTTTTTAATACTGGGGCTGGCTCCAGAGTTGAGCAGGTTTATAATGCACTGCTTCTGCCCCCTGTAGGCGGCACAGTGTAAGGGAGTGTTCCCCACAGAGTCCCTGCAGTGAATATCTGGAGGTTCTTCTCTACTGAGCTGAAGAACAGAAGACAGGGGAACAGCAGAAAGCAATTTAACAAAGCATAAAACGCTGACATATACTTATTCGACATGTAGAACTGAGTGTCCACCTTAAGCCAGTGATACAAAACACAGAAAGAAAAGTAAAATGATATCCCTGATTTGGTTTTCTGGAGAATCTGCTTAGGTCTGCTAAACAATTCAGTAAAGAATGCACATGATATATTGTTTTAGTTGTCTATGATTCAATCTTTTACCATTCTGCCAAAGCATCAGACAGGTAAGGCCCTTCACAAATATATTAAAATGTTGGATTTTTGTGACCAGTATCTGGAATGTTAATGTAAACCTGTAGCATAAACCATTCAATCTCAAAACACAGCAAAACCTGTGCAAGGCAGTGGTTTAATGTGAAACGTTCTTTAAGCAAGAAAGAGGCTGTCAAGTGTAATATATTCTGCAAAATTCTTAGAAAGGTCAGACCAGTTTAGACAGAGTGGAGATGTCCCCCTCTCTGGCTGCTTCCAGAAGCTTCTCCTCCCACCGCCTTGTCTCTCTCCTCTCTGCAGCTGCACAAATCAAACACCATTTGAGAACAAAGGCAGATGATCCACAGTAATGAGAAGCAATCAGCGTTTAAAAAATTACCCTCCAGCATTGTAATGATTTCATCATCCTCTGTCACATCTTTAGGGATTTGAGCTGTTCCATTGATTATGTTGGAACAGGCATCATACCGCAGCAGCAAGAGAACAATCTCCTTTAAGCAGAGAATTTTTTTAAAAATCTGACCATCATTTGTCATCACTTAAAAGTTTGAATACTATCTGGTGGTGTCTGAGACCGTGAATTCAGCTCACAAGTTATAAAGCAGGGCACACCTATATAGTAATGGGCAGGCAAGGCACTCAATGTTTTTTTTTTTTACCTTTCTCCCAGTAAACGCTGCTTTGTGTAGAGGTGTGTCACCCATGTTATTCTGCAAATTTGCATCAGCACCTGCCTGCAAATATGGTAAATGTAGTAAATACAACTGGCTGCAAATACTTACTGGAGATAATATATATTTATCTTTTTTTTGTATTCTACTAATTCAATATTATAACATACAATCAATGAAACAGACAATCAAAAACAAAATAAGAAGAAACGGGAGGGCAGAAAGCAGAGCTAATTAAGAAAATAGCCCTCATCCAGTTTTTAACTATTTTGGTCAAGGATCCAAATATTATGGCATTTTAACTACAAACTTAGGAGGTTGGTTTCCATGTATGTATGCAAGTAAAAACACACATAAATAAACAAAATGCTATGTATACACACACATACACATATTATGTACACGTACTACACACATACTTCAGGTTTCAAAGTATAATTTAAAAAGGTCATTTCCAGGGCAAAAAGGAAATGCAATACCAAAACAATGAAAAGCAAAATGAAAAAGAAAGTAGGATAAAGGTTATTTTTTAAATCTTAAAGTTTATACTAATCCATGAACAGATTACAATACAGTTGAATTTATTATCCTTTTTTTTCTTTTCTTTTTTTAAAGGTAAACCAAAACACAAAGACAACACAAAACAAGAAACAAACAAAAGGACCGTTATAAGAACACATCTCACCTTAAGCAGCTCCTGCACAGCTTCCCTGTGTCCAGAGCAGCAGGCCAGGTGGAGGGGGGTCCATCCTAAACTGGCTTTAGATCTGGCTTTACAGACACAGAGGAACATGATCCTCATACCTGAAGAAGAACAGCAGTGCTAGTCGACGGCTAATGGCTAATCTCCTCTATACTTACATCTGCAGTTGATGTTCAGAGAGCTGCTTTGGTTGATTCTCGACTGAAGGAGGCTCTGAATATGAGAACAACTGCCGTCTTTAGCGTAGAGGAGAAGCTTTTCCTCAAGTGTGTTTGCCTCCATCACCACTTCACTTCCTTTGGCCCAATAGCAAAGCTAATGTAAATGTTACGACTGTCAAAGATATTGGAGACCAAAAAACCGTTTGTTAACTGATGCTAACACAACCAGTAAAGGTGAACAAAGCTTCTGAGTGAAACATTAACACATACAGTCAGTAGCCTACTTAATTTAACGTAGCTTGCTTTCTTTTAGCTTGTGGAGGGGAAGTTTAAAACAACAACACATGTACCCAAAGGCTAAGGTACAACACAAACAACCTAGCATGTTACCTAATGAAATACAAGCTTTAGACTTACAGGGAAAGATTTTAAACTCCTACTTTAATCAACTTTCGCGAGTGTGTTTGAGGGTTCAAGCCACAGTTTAAAGACCAACCAACACTACTCGAAATTCGATCATGTCAATCAGCTGACAGCTGTTGGGTCGTCATGTGACCAGGCAGCATGTGTGTGTGTGTGTGTGTGTGTGTGTGTGCGAGAGTGTGGACCAGGGTAAGACAATTCATAAGATATAGAAGTATGCATTAAATAAATAGTAATAGTAGACTATTGAATGGAAAAGTTTAGTATCTAATAAAAACAAAACAGAAATCGCTAATAAGGAATCCATATGATAGTATTACTATACTATACTTTGCCATAAAAATGAATACAAATGTTCTGATATAAAAAAGTATTAAAAGTCCTAGTAAAGTTCATATAATCACTAACAGACATGTTATAGTAGGCCATAATGAATAAGAGGAATTCATTGAAAAAGTCCTAGTATTTTATGTCATAAAAACATCTTATTATATAAAGTCATAGTGTGCCATAATTAATTTCATTTAATCGTTTATTTGAACCGGGACAATGCACATTAATGAACATTTTAAGTCCATGTAAACATTTATAAAAAAAACACATACTTTTAAAAGACTTAAAATTGTCAAAACTCAAGAAATTGTGTTTATCAAGGATGGTACAGTGGTGGTATGAATTTGGCTTTCTGTCAAACACCTTGATAGCTCTCTTGTACAGCTGTTCTATGGGTTTCAGGTTTGTGGCACAAGCAAACGACCAGTTTGTCAACCAGTATTCAATGTGGGATAGAATCAGTGGAGGTATGACTTTGCAGCATTGACAGTTAAGAAAGGTCTGATTTGTTTAACATTTTGCAAGTTGAATTTAACGGTATTGGATACTTTCTTGATATGTTTCTTAAAAGTCAAGTTCGAGTCCAGTATGACTCCAAGATACTTGAAGTGGGGGACTAGTTCTAATTCTGCTCCGTTTAAAAACACATTGGATCCTTCGATTTTGACTGGTCGTTTACTGAACATCATGCATACTGTTTTTTTTGCATTTAACTGTAAGCAAATGTTGTTCAGCCAGTGTTGAACCTTGTCCAATGCATTTGAGAGACAGGATGTGATTATTTCAGTATTTTTCCCGTGTACAAAGATGACCGCATCATCGGCATACATTTGTACATTCAAATCAGGACATACAGGCAAGTCATTAATGTACAGAGAAAACAGTGATTCCAGGATGATGGAACTTCCCTCGTGCTAATAGATTGATTTACTAGCATACTAATTGGTTTTATTAGACCGTCAATATTTGTCTTTATAAAGTTGGTGTCTAAATCATCTGCATCCCTAGCCTTAGAACTTTTTAACCCTAAGATTATATTTTTTACCTCCACCTCTGTGATTTCCTCCAGGTCAAAAACTAGTAATTCTGGTGAACATTTCTTATGTTTTACTTTGTTTTTACTTACTCCTTCACACATCTGAGTAAAGGAATGGTTCATCCTGTTAAGTCATTTGAATGCTTGTATTGCTTGTGCCATAAATGATCACTTTAGATTAAATCTAGCAATGTGTCTTTGTGTCCATACAGTATGTCAACATACTACACTGGTTAGAACACTGTATTACTGTATTGATTTTATAGTGTTTATGAAGCCCTCAGAAGAGGCAAATTCTTCTTTTGTACACTAGATGGAAGTATTTGCTGCACCAGGTGAGGCCCACACAGGTTAATGCTCTGTTTATTTCCTGAGCTTCTGTCAAAGAGACTTGTTCAGGAAAAACGCACAGAAACATCACAGCCACATTTCCACTACATCAAACTGTTGCTTCCGGTCTTTTTTTTTGTATTGAAGGTCAATGCTGAGTGTGTGGCTTTGATGGCCCTGTTTACTTTAAGCATTTAGGTCCCCTGGGATTAGTGCATATCTGACAGAGTGGGTGAGTGAGAGTCATGCTGTAATGAGGGTACAGTAGTGTGAGGGACGACTTCAAAGACCACCTGTGAAAGGAAAGGTGTCTTTTTGAGAGGCTGCGTTAAACCAGGAACTTCGATCACAGGCTAGGATAATACCCAGTAGAGCTGCAAGGGATAGACAAAATAAGATGAACACCCTGTGGGATAGTGCTTAATCACTGAAGCAACTACATCACTTCCACAAACATTACCACAGAGGATTGGGTTTGGAAAGTAAACTAGGCTTACCAGCTGTTAAATTAGTTTAAATCATCCCTATGTTATACGAATTTTCAAAGTACCATGAGATAACCAGCACAGCTCCAAAGACGCCAACACAGCAGTGCCTTAAATGCAGATACATCTGAACAAACACACAGGGAATTCAGGGTGTACACAATCATGATGATTAGGCCAAACAAAGACAAATGGCTCTGACAGAGTTTTTATATCTGGTTGTTGGTTCTAATACTGCAATGCTCTAGCGCTAATGCTTTGGATCTATAGGAGAACTCTCTTGCATCAATGGAGAAATGGGTAATGGGTCAAAGGTGGTCTTCTCAAGTCATTATGTATATGTTCATGTTCATTTTCATTCATTTATTACTTCATAGTTTATATGACCCAATATGTATAAATGCAAATTTTAATTCATTTCTTATTTCATAGTTTTTCATAATTTTCATTTTTATCTTTCATTTTATCTTTCATTTTATTAACCTGTGTGAATCTGTGCAGTCCTGTTTTTCATCCATACCCTGTTACTGTTTGAACTACTGAATTTCCCCAAGGGGATTAATAAAAGTCCATTTTATTTTATGTTATTATGCTTAAGCTGATCCTAATTTGCTTTATACTCTTGTTGTTTGTACTGATCATGTTTTTATTGATCTTTCAAAAATACTGCTCCTGCACTAGTCCAACACCTAAATAAACCCTATAGGACTTAATACAATTCTGAATAATAGATTACATACATTTTAAAAGTCATTCATTGTTGGTTTTATATTTAATTATAATGTCTGGGAAGTTATGGAAACACAGACATTAATCATAGCATATTCATCAAATCAGGTCTGGTGAGGGAAAGAAGCACACTGGGCTAGTTCTTGCTAATTAGCATGGCAATTATTGTAAGCTGTCACAGTTCTTAAGCAACAGGGTGGACTGTGTGTGCTCCAGAGCGTAATCCCTCACAAATTACAAGATAATGGAGGCAAAGAGAGACCTTCGCTTCAAAAGAAACCAGGAGATAAAATCCCCAGCAGGGACATTTTAGGGACAGTCAGGGAGAGAGACGGCGAGTGAGGAAAAGGTAAGGGAAAGAAGGACGGCATGTATTCCCTTCACATAGAGCTGTCTGAATAGGACATGGTTATTTGACTGTGTAGTTCATTGAATGGCTTCAAATTAATCAAATCTGATACGTTTTTCTGCATTTGACACATTATGCTTTTTCTTATATTGTAATTTACATATTTTAAAGATGATATCTGTCAATAAATCCCTTTTAATTCTACTTCATTTCATGTTGTACAGCATTATTTCGCCTAATAACCACAGATCAATAGTCCTCTCTCCTTGTGGCGTGCTTACCTGCGGTGCAAAACACATTGTTCAAAGCTCCCTCGAAACGGGGATTCAGCTGCTTCTCTTGTCAAGAAGCAAGAAAAGATAATTGTATAGAAGGAAGGCAGCACTTTGCAGGACAACAGTATGCTGCAGCACGTAAACAGTGCTGCCCCAATATACAGTTTAACACAAGTGGTTTATTTAGCTGTGTCCAACCTTAACTCCCTGCACAGCTACACACCTGCTGTGATATCATGAGGTCACCAACCTTCATTAGAAGGATCCAGGTATGGCCTTTCAAAACTGGTAGGTCAGTCAGATTAAGGTCAATCAAGCACCGTCAGTACACACCCACATAGTTCAGACGAGCTCCAATCAGAAAGTGTGGATGGGCCATATGTGTATCGGGGCACAGTAATAAACATATATAACAAGCACACGGAATGAGTTGTTTTCTGTGTCCTTACATTTTTTTTATATATGGAAATGAAAGTTTATAGTTTTTAATGAAGTAACTTTGACATCAAATATGACTCATCTACAGACATCGGCATTGCTTTTCTAAAATGCTCTCAAATGTATTATTTCCTCCTCGAATGAACCCCAGTGGATCTTAATGGTAAGCTATTATTCTAGCAGGCGTGTTGCAACAGCACAGATAGACGTTGGACACTAAATAACTTATTCATGGGGGATAATCATTTTAAAAAATTGCTCTACTGTCTTGAAACAGCAGGATAGATGTGACCACTGTTTTGGGATAGATTACCTCTGGTTATTTGTCTGCTCAATGTTAGCAAGGCTATTGAAGTAAACAACCTTTTTTCCATGGCATTATTGTTGCATTGTTATCACCACAATAGCTGAAATGCATTCAAAAGTAAATGAAAGAAAATGGAAGCAGCAAGTATTCCTAAAACGTCTCAGTGGAAACAACCAGAGCTGTGTACATGGTGAAAACAAAATATAAAATATATGTTTGCCATTATATCCATGATTAAATAATAAAATACCATATTTCTTTATTTTACAATACACAGCAGCTCTAAACACGCCTGATACATTTTTTTTCTCTTAGCCTAAACATGATATAATAATACATAATGATTACAGTAATAATAACTGCACTGGGATGTTAACAATAACAACCTGCTCCAACTATAAATGTTGCTATAAGGGTGGAGTACAGTGATACATGGATTACCCAGCTTGGAGCTTTTGAAAACGAAATGAAATATTTAACAAGTCAAAAATACTGTGACGAAGAGGCACACCCAATGCATCTCAATGAGCTTCTGTGGATAGAGCAAAAGGTAAATGCCAACACCCTTCATCTCGCTGCAGCTCTGCTTAAAGGACGGTGAGGCTGTGAATCTATCCAACTATGAGTTCAGTTCTCTCATTTATCATTAGCATTTATTATGTAAACGGAACAGCTCTGATTTGATGTGGAGATGAAGACTACCAGGGGATGTTTCTGTATCGTTCAAATTGCAATAAGTCCATACCCCAGCATATATAAGCATATTACTCAAATATCATGAGTGAATTCTCCCTGATCCTTGATGATGCA